CCCCCTTTTTGGGCAGTCTTTTAAACAAAAAAAATTTTGTTTTTAGTGGTGGTATTTTATCTATAAAGCTGCCTTTAAATCGTTTTAATTTTTCGATTCCATTTTTCCGAGTCCAGTTCCATAGAGCCAAATAAAGTTGTTTGACTTTCTCAGTAGCCAGAAAGCTCCTAAAATTGATTTTTTAATTTTAATAAATTTTTAGATTATAAATAGGCTCTCTAAAATATTTTTATAACTTAACTTTGTCATAGAGACTGGACCGAGACGAGATCACGATCAAAAATCTAGGTTATCGAGATCAAGAATTTTTCGTGATGTCGATTCTCGTATGACAGTTTTTGGTCTTCTAGACTCGTAAAACAATCTCAGTCCGATCTCTCTCAGTTTTCGACCACAATTTTGGTGGGAGACTTGGCGGGAGAGTCAACCAAGGCTAATACAGACCCCCAGGGATCGAATGATCTAACGTATTAGAGGATATGGCGTCCTAGGGAAACGTCGTTTTAGTGAGAGTAGAGTCCTTTATATCTCGATAATACGAATCCTCATTAGGAACCTCTCTCATTAATACGCTAGGACAGATGCTATCGCATAGGCCTTAGATAACTCGTCACTCTCCTTATTGCGGGTCTCCTCATTAGGAAACCTCTCTCTTCAGTTGTCAGGACAAATCAGGCTATCGCTTAGGTCTTCGATAGCTCGTCACTCTCCTTATTACGGTTGTTTTAATTGGCAATCGAGATTTGGCTTTATTATTAAAAAAAATTTTTTCAAACCTGGAAAGTGGAGTCAAGCTCCTCTGAGATGGCCTTGTAACGCTCCTTCTCGTGGACGAGTTCGTCTATATAAATTTAATGTCTCAGAGATAAGATACTTGCTTAATTTTAAGTAAGCAACTCAACGTAGATCGAAGTTAACCAAGCAACGAATTTAATTCAACAATAAACTCAACAAAAAACAAAATTTTTATTTATTTTAATAAAATAACGTTCAAAAAACTGCATTATGCAGAAATGTATAAAATCACAAATTATTTTTAAAAATTATTTTGGACTGCAATAAAAAATAAAAAAATGTTTTTAAATAAAACTAAGATTAGTTGTTAATTAATTATATTAATTTTTGAATTAAATTTCTAAAAATTGATAAAATAAAAGAGGTTGAGGGCTGTTTAGAGCGACATCTCTAGGGAAAAAGTTAGTAAAATCAACGGGGCAACGCCCTGTATTGGGTCGGGGACAGATCATTGGTCTAAATAATGATCGAAAACTTCTAAGAGGAATTCGAAGTTAAAGCGAAACTTAGAATCCGAAACGAATTCGAAACTGAAACGAAACTTCGAATTGGAAAACGAAATTTTGTAAACTTTGTCGAATTTATATTGGGTCGGGGACAGATCAATGGTCTACATAATGATCGAAAACAATCTAAAACGAGGTCGAAGATGAAGAAAAACTCGATTCCAAACGAATTCGAAATCGAATTTAAAGCGAAACTTCGAAATGAGAAACGAAACTTCGAAACCTATGCAGAATTTCGAATTCGATTCCCATCGAAATTATTCAAACCGTAGTTAGACATGGTATTTTTATTGAGAACTCGTTTATAATGATCGAAAACATGCTAAGACGAATTCGAAGTTAAAGCAAATCTTCGAATCCGAAACGAAATCGAAATCGAAATTAAAGCGAAACTTCGAATTGGAAAACGAAATTTCAAAAACTAGGCCGAATTTCGAATTAGATTCCAAACAAATTATTCTAACCCATGGTATTTTTATTGTGAACTCGTTAGTTTTGCAGCCCTAGTCTTTCTACTAAAATTTTAGGAAGAGGATCAAAAATTTTAGAAATGCCGCTAAACACAACCCCTATCTCACACATCAAACAAAAAATTTTTTGGTTAAATAAATTTTAAAATGCAAAGTCTTCATCATTAAAACACTCCAAACACGTGTTAAGAAATTTAATTTAGTTGTTAATCGAATGCAATTCTTGAACAAAGTGATCAAGGTCCGATTGCATAAGCATATTCTTTTGACGCAAATCTTCGTAATCCACTGCAAAAACACACAAAAAAATTTTGATTTAAAACATGTTAGAAAAATTGGAGATTTTAAACCGAAATTTCGAATTTCGGATTCGAATTTTTAAGTAGAAATTTCGGATTCAGATCGAAATTTTGAATTCGAAATTGCGTTTTCGAATTTTCGAAAGGGTTTTTAATTCGAAATTTCGAAATCAAATCGAAATTTTAATTCGAAATTTCGAATTCAACACGAAATTTCGAATTCGAAATCGAAATTTCGAATTCGAAATTTCAAATCGAAATTAATCGAAATTTCGAATTCGAGGTCAAATTGTGAATTTTGATTAAATATTAGTAAAAACTATTAGGCTAAAGCATGTCAAAGCACGAAAAATCTAGAAATTAAAGATGCATAAAAAGCTTTAAATTATTTTACTAAATAAACGAACAAGCTAATATTTAAGATTAATTTATTAAAAGCAAAGATGATTAAAGTTGATCTGATTATAATTCCAGCCTATGGGATAGGGACATTTTAGGGGTCAATATGTCACTTCCGACTATGATGTGGGCTGAAGGGAACATGAACTTCAGACTAGGATGTAGGGTGTAGAGAACACGATCCTTTCTCCGGAGATGATCCTTAATCCGGAGAGAACATGACCTTACATGGAGAGGGAAATGCTACCTCAAGTCCTTTCAGACTAGAAAGTAAGCTGAAGGGACCACGCCCTTTGTTACTAGGGAGAAGTTTAAAGAGAACATGATCAATTCTCAGGAGATGATCCTTCCCCCGGAGAGAACATGACCAACATGGAGAGGGAAATGTTATCTCCGTTCCTTCCAGACTAGAAAGTAAGCTGAAGGGACCAAGACACTTTGTGACTGGGAAGAAGCTTAAAGAGAACATGTTCCTTTCGCACTAGAAAGTAGGCTGGAGAGAACGTTTGCCTTACGGACTAGAAAAACTAGAAAGACCTTATAACCAGATACAACTCTAAAATTTAAAAAATTGTTCAACGAGTACAAAGCTTTATTATTTTAATGTCCATCATTGTTCCCCATTGTTAACTTTATCCCTTCATTATTTATGTGCCCTGAATTTCCTGGACCGTCTGCTCGATTTCAGCGGTCAGATTGCGAACACGTTCCTTTTCAACAAGAAGCTCATCTGTATTTTGATTTTAATTTTTTCAACAAATTTGACAGAATGCCAAGGAAAGTTAAATTTTGACAGAATACCAAAAATATCTACAGAATGCCAAGTTAAAAATTTTCAACATAATGCCACAAAAAATTATTCGACAAAATGGCACAAAATTTTTTTTTTGACAAAATACCACTAAAATTATTTTTGACAAAATGCCACAAAAAACTTTATTTTAGAGCGAAAGACTGATTTTAAAAAATTCAGAACGTCCAAATAAAAAAAATAAAATTAAGCAAAGCAACGTAGATAGCAAAATTATTTTTAAAAAATATTTAGAACCCCCACCTTCAAGCCGATCAACCTCCTTTTGGAGCTTTTGAACCGAACGTTCAGCAAACTCAGCACGAGTCTCAGCCTTTAAATTTTTTAAATTAATTTGACTCGGAATTATTTAACATAATTTCAAAGACAAGGACTATAAAGCCTTTAAAAATCAGTTCAAACAACAGAAAAAGTTTTAAAAATTAGATTCAAACAACGAGAAATATAGCTAAAGTATACCTTTAAATACCGTAATCCTTTAATAATTAGGGTATGGGTTCACTAAGGGGATGAGGACATAGGGACTATGACAGTTGTGGACGGGAAGGGTTCACTAAGGGGAAGGAGGTATATATACGGAGTTAAGACAGATGGGGACTAACTCATAGCTAAAAAATTTTCTTCGAACTCGAGAAAAGTCTAAGTCTGAAAAGAGTTCAATCTCAATTATTTGAAACTTGTTCAGCTACCTTTCTGAACGAGCTGTTCAAAAATCTAGTAGGTAATCGTGACCAGGATTTTTCGCAATTTCGAGACCGAATCCCTTTCGTCTCTCAAGTCTTGTGCTTACTTATGAGGCGTATTCATAGCTCTATTAGGAATTTTTAAAATATTTGGGCATGGAATCCCTGGGAAGACTTCTATAAACTATGGCATTCTATTAGATTTTGGTGTATAATTGGGCCTTCTAATAGAATGAAGGTTTTCTCCAAAGTGAGCAATACCGTACTCCCACCCTCATTAAAATTAATATTTATGGAACAGAACCTCCTTGAGTCGCCCAGTCAAGTTTCGAATCTGTTCCTCATAAACATCCTCTCTCTGTAAAGCCTTTTCTTCCGAAACTTCCAAAGACTTCAAATTATTTCCGACCACACGCAATTCTTCCTCAAGCTCTACAATTTTGCTAAAATCAAAAAATAAGCGTTAGGTAAGCCAAAATTTTAAAATTAATTTTCAAACAACGAATATATTTTAAGACAATTTTAATGAAGAAAATAAAAAAAGACAAAATTAAAGGTGTTAGTATAATGAGAGAGAAGTATATATTGGGGGGGGGGGGCATAAAGGGGGGCCTCCCCCTTTGGGCAGGCATCGAACCTGAGATTCGCTAACAGCCTGGGACTCACTGCTAGCCCTCACTCGTATCTTGGGTATGGGAAGAAAGTCGAGTCGAGTTTGGGGTAGTGAGTTGGGGTAGAGGTAGTGCCCGGTCAGGCATCGAACCTGAGACTCGCTAGCAGTTATTGATAGCCCCTCATTGTACCTTGGGTATGAGAATAAAGTCGGGTCGAGTTTGGGATCGTGTTTTCAAAATTTTCTTCAAATATGATTTCGGGTCGAGAAAGATCTGTGTTTTGTGTTTCGGTTAACTCAGGGCAACCCTGTCACTTTCAGATGCTTTACTGACTGAGTTCAATGCTTTACTGAGCTCATTGCTTTGTAGATTAGTGTTGAGTTAATTAATATCAAACAGAAAGGTCGAAGCAATCAAAGACGATTATAATGAACGATAAATTACGGAGGTACCATAAATACACACCTCTTTAAGGCGAACTTCCATTGAGCGCACTTGCTCCTCATAGGCCTCCTCGCGTTGCATTGCCTTCTCTTCCGAAAGCTCCAAGGATTTGAGGTTGTTTCCTACAACGCGCAATTCCTCCTCGAGCTCGACAATTTTGCTATAGAAGTAGATTTTGGGTAAATTTTAAAGTTGATTAGAAGGGTGTATAATTAGAGAGGGGGATTGATTAGAGAGGGAGTTTAATTAAAGAGGGAGATTAATTAGAGAGGGAGATTAATAAATTTAAGAGGGAATTAGAAAGGAATTTTTAAAATTTAAGGAAAAAATTTTGTCAGACTTACTTCTCTCCAGCCTCGGCACGCTCCTCAGCACGCTCCAAATCTGCCTCAACCATTGCAAGTTTGCGAGCAACCTGAAAATTCAGATAATTTTAAATTTAATATTTTGGTTTTGTTGAAGAGCAGAATGAAGCAAAAATAAATGAAAGCAGCAAAATTCAGCAAAATTTAAAAGAAATACAAAAAAATAAAATAACCCGTCGATCCTCACTATAAGACACTTCCGGGTTAAAAATTATGACTTCTTCCCTCAACAATGTCTCTCAGGTTAAGGGTGTCTCTTAAATTGGGGAGGTCTCCAAAAGCAAGTGTCTTTTAAGATGTTATGTCTTAAAATGAATATTATCCTGATTTGGGATGTTAAGATTGTGGGTGTCTCCCAACGTAAGGGTGTCACCTAAATTATGATCTCTCTTAAACTGAGAGTCTCCATAAGTGAGGTTCGTTTGTATCAATACAACAATATTAATTAATAATTCAATGAAAGCCCTTAGATTAATTTTGAAAAGCAGAACACACACTCAAAGAAATCAGAGCGGACCTCATCGTATTTACGATCAGCCTCCTCAGCCAAGCTTTGAGCCTCCTTAAGCTGCTCCTCGATAGCATTGGCGCGCTCCTCATCTTGAAGGGAGCGGTTCTCCATAACCTTGCGTTGGCTAAAAGTGGAGGAGATTTTATAGAGAGAAGGTGATAAACCTAGATTTGGGAGGATATAAAGGAGAACAGAAAGATTTAAGGAAACGAACAAAGACAAAAATACAAAACATAAATATAGAAAAAGACAAAATAAAAATACAAATTATGTGACAAAATACAAATTAATATAAAGCTTCCGGAACGTTATACAATTAATTAAAAAAGACCAGAATTATAAAAAATATTATTTAGAGTTATACTTTCCGGAAAATATTATTATTTAATGGATAATATTATTTTTCCGGATGATTATTATTTTTCCGGAAAATATTTTCCCGGATGATTATTATTTTTCCGGAAAATATTTTTCCGGATGATTATTATTTTTCCGGAAAGTAATATTAGTATAATGAAACAATACAACCCTTCCGGAAAATATAATAAAACGTTCAGAATTTCCGGAAATATATATTCTGATAGGAATAATTATTCCTGGAAGAGGATATAAAACTTCCGGAACGTATTTTATTTTCCGGAAAGTTATATTTTTAATAGAAATTTTCCGGAAAGTTTTATTTTTATTATATTTTCCGGAAGGATTATCGAATTAATTAATATGTATAATTAGAAATTCAAAGCAAAAATTCGCGCGAAAAACACAATTAATTTTTCAAACTATTAAAGCAAAACACAGCAAGCTTCAAAAATAAACATCAAAACCTCATCAGCCCTCGCTTCTGCTTCGTGTAGAATAGACTGTGCTTCGCGCAACCGTGCTTCCAACTCCGCGCAACGGTCGTCGTCGACAGTAGCACGTTGAAGCATTGCTTTGCGTTCACTGCAACACAACACACAATTAATTTTATTTATTAAAAAATTAATTTTAGGTTAGAATATGGTAAAATTCACTCAAGTTAATAATTATTATTTAGGTGCGCGTCGCTGTCAAAAAAATTTTTTTTTATCTCAAATTCACACAAAAAATATAAAGATTTAAAAAAGAATAGAGAAAATAAGCAAATAAAATTTAAAAAATATTAAAAGCATTGAAAAACATGCCTCTTCATATTTGCGATCGGCATCTTCAGCAATCACCTTAGCCTCATCTACTTGCACCTCGAGTATATTTGCACGCTCCTCGTCTGCCTGGGAACGGGTTTCCATAGACTTTCGAGCACTGAATCAAGCATTCAAATCAGAAATTTTATTTAAGCAAAAAATTTTTTTAATAATTTATTTAAAAGCAAAATATTAAAAGCAAAATATTTAATAAAATAAAGCGACAAGAAAATACAAGAAAATCATACATAAAACACATTAATTAAGCGACAGAAATAAAATACAAAAACACAAATACAGAACAAATAATTCTGATAATATTTAGAGTCTTTCCAAAATACAAATTCTGATACTTAAATTAAGCTTATTCTGGAATTATTTGTTTTCCGGAAAATACAGAAAATAAATATTAATATTGGATTTTATTTTATTCTGATTTTATTAAATTCTGATTTTATTTAATTCTGATTTTATTTAATTCTGATTTTATTTAATTCTGATTTTATTTAATTCTGATTTTATTTTATTCTGATGTCATATGTATAATTTCCGGAAAACACAAACCAAAGAATATAAATTCTGATTTTTATATAAATTCTGATTTAAATCCTTTCCGGAAAAATACAAACCAAGAATAAATATTCTGATTTTATATAATTTCCGGAAAACAAATTTCTGAATAAATTAACAAGGAAAAACAGAAATTCCTTATTCTAATATTCCCTATTACACGGTAAAATACATTTCCCCTATAATACCGCTCAGATTCGTCGCAGTTGACGGTAGCCTCCTCCATTTTTTCAGTCGCAACTTTGCAGCGCTCCTCAAGTTTGTCCAATTCCTCTTCAAGGAGAACCATGCGGCGGTTGAGAGAGGCAACCTCAGCTTCGGCCTAAACTCATTAATTTTATAGAAAAAATTCTAATAAATGGGCACTGTTTCAGTAAAAATAAACGGAAATACAAAATAGATCACCTAGAATCATTCCACGCTATTCACATTCAAAATTCAAATTTATAAAAATAAAAGAAAAAATTAGCGCTTAATTGAGAGATATTCGCTAGTCGCATCGCAATATTTTTTGGCGTATTTTAATTTCTTAAATAAAAAAAAATTATTTAACCGCTCAGCCTCATCAGCAGCTTTCGACGCTTCATCCAACTTCTGTGTAGCAACTTTTAAACGGTCATCGGTACGCTCGAGGTCTTCCTCAACGAGGACGATGCGGCGGTTGAGAGCAGCCACCTCTGCTTCCGCCTATTTTATTAAGAAATTGTATTTTTATTTATTTTAATATTCTGATTTTTGTATTTTCTTTTAAAAATTCTGGTTTTTGTATTTTCTTTTAAAAATTCTGGTTTTTGTATTTTCTTTTAAAAATTCTGGTTTTTGTATTTTCTTTTAAAAATTCTGGTTTTTGTATTTTCTTTTAAAAATTCTGATTTTTGTATTTTCTCTTAAGAATTCTGATTTAATTATTTTCTTTTAAAAATTCTGATTTAAGTACATATTTTATTAAAATTCTGATTTTTGTATTCTCTTTTAAAATTCTGATTTTTGTATTTTCTTTTAAAAATTCTGATTTTTGTCTTTTCTTTTAAAAATTCTGATTTTTGTATTTTTTTAAATTCTGATTTTTGTATTTTCTCTTAAAAATTCTGATTTTTGTATTTTCTTTTAAAAATTCTGATCTTTGTATTTTTATTCAACTTCCTTACATCTTCACGTTTCTTTCTCTCCTGCTCCAATTGTCTCTTAACCTCATCAGCCTCATCTTTTGCTTGCTCCGCCTCCTCCCGAGCCTGACGCATTTTCTTTTTAAGAACATCTAGAAGCGATGTTTGCTGTGAAGCACCCTTTTCCATTCTTGAAGCCATTTTAATTTAATTTCAAATTTACTAATAATTTTTAATTTAATAAATTTTGTTAATAAGTTGTAAGCAGCGCGCAAAATTTAAAAATAAGAGAAAAATAAAAAAATTTCAAGTAAAAATTCTAAAAATGACCATAATGATAGATAACACTCGTGAGAATAATTGTGCAAAATTGAAGGTTAATAAGTGCTGATTTGGATGATTTAAATATCCAAATGTACAGCTAATACATATCAACTCTCGATTTAATGCGGGAAGGAACTCGAAGGGACAGAAGAACCGAAAGGACTCAAGAGATGCGTGATCGAGGGTCATTTAAGAGAGAGATATTAGTCAGAGAGTCAATTGTATATTTCAAAAAATGGATATGTAAAGCCTCAGAGGCCCAAATAAAGTCAAGTATCTATGTACTAGAGTTGGCCGGTATCGGGATTCTGACCTTAAATCGGTATCAGTATTATTGAATGATGATGCTCATCCCGATACCGACCTCGGGATTGGCATATATATAATAGCGCCCGATAACGGTCGGGATCCCGATACCGGCCAGCTTTAATATGTACATATGTACATAGTAGTATATAGTGTCGGATATATGAATGAAGGACATGGCGAAAAGAACTCAGAGAAAAATCGTGAAAAAATTCTTTAAAAATCCGACAAACTATTTTTGAGATAACCTGATCATTTTTTAATATAAAAATATTTTTTTCAAATTTTTAAAAAATTATTTGATACAAAATAAATTTAAAAAGCTTGCGCATTAGCTATAAAAGAACACGAAAATGAGTAGGCGGAAAAAATAGAAAAAACACAAAAAATTTACTTGAAATCAAGCTGGTAAATAAACATATTAAGTAAAATACAGCAACTCGATTTCTTAGAACAAAATAAAAATATTTTTTGAAGATTTTTAAGATGAAAGAAAGAAAAAAGAAGCACAAAAGAACTAACAAATAAAGGTACCTAAAGGCTTTTTGTATGCTTAAAAATAAGAAAAAAATTTTTGGGGAGAGAGGAGAATGTATTGAAGATTGAGCAAACAAATTTTAGCTAGCTTACTCTAAAATATATTTATATTTGAAGGGAGAACAGCCAACTTTTTCGATTTTATCTTGCTTATAGTTTATAATTGACAAAGTTAGGGTAGAAATTTTAAGGATGGGATTCGAGAGGAGCTACGAAGAGGTTTGGGAACGGGCTTGGGAGGATTAAGGAAAGGATTTCGGAAAGGACTTGGGAGGATTTATGAAGAGATTTGGGAACGGACGTGAAAGGATTTATCAAGGGATTTGTGAACGTACTTAAGAGCATTTGTGAAGGGATTTGTGAACGTACTTGGTAGACTTTATGAAGTGATTTAGGAACGGACTTGGGAGGATTTATGAAGAAATTTGGGAATGGATTCGGAAGGATTTACGAAGGGGTTAGGGAACGGACCTTTGAGGATTAAGAAGAGATTGGGAACGGATTCAGGAAGAGATTAGGAAAGGATTAGGAAGATCTGGAAGTTTAGGAATAGGTGCATATAACCCTAATCCTCGATAGAATTGATTCCATTTTTAGTGCCCTAGATGACTCAAATAAGATAAACTTGGAGACAGCATAATATCCGATAGAAATATATAACACAAGGGTATCTGTAGTGGAAGTAGCCAATTAAATTTGTTAAAATCTAATCTACCGCTCAATCCTTAAATTTTTTACGGATATTTATAAGGATCTAATAAAGCTTACCTAAGGATATAGGAAGCTTTATTTGTTTTTATTTAAAGAAAAATGTGTCTAGAACCCTCACAGCAGGTAATCCCAATCCAAGGAATGCAACAAAAACAAATAAATGCTTAATAGGATAGCTAAAGTACTTGGTAATTTTTCCTAATTTGTTTTTAAAGCATTAGAAAATTAAGGAAAATAGGGAAGACTGCCTATACCTCTTATACCTAATAAAATGCTTGTAAGCATTTGCGCAAATATTAAAATATTAAGTAAAATATTTATATTAGTTATTAGTTGAAGTTTAATTTGTACAGATGAAAACAATAATAAATAGGGGTAAGAAGGAAATTCAATTGACTCTCGTTAACTCTCGAATAACCCAAAGATGAAAACTAAATAGGGATAAAAATGAAATTCAGTTGACTTTAGGTAACTCTCGAATAACCCCACAAGTTGGACTACAAGATATGCAGCTCTAACCCTAGTAAACTTCTTTCTAACAGCTAACAATCATGGGCGTGTAAATATGTACTGATATAACGAGAGTCGGCAGGATGATGCTGATATAAAGATAGAGCCCACGCAATGGGCTGACTGTTAGGATATCTTATTAACCCTCGAACGGTCAGTAAACCAATCAACAGGTGTTGATATAACAAATGAATATGAGAAATAAAATTGATTCTCGTCATAACACCACAAATAGACTGACCGACAAGTAACCAATTAAAAGATACACCTTCAAAAGCTGTGTAAATAAGTGTAGTTATAACGAGATCACGATTATTTAATGGAAGGAAAACTCTCTCGATTAGAGTGTCTCTCAATATGGACAAAAAATTAAAAAAAAAAAGTAAATTAATGTAAAAAATACATATATATATATGAGCAGACAGATATTTTTACAAATAAAAAAAATATTTTGGTCTATAAAATTATTTTAACAAATTTTAGTGTGTTTAGATAGCTAATAATAAACAAAATAAAATAATATTTTTATTTTAGCCTTGATAAAATCTTTTTTTTGGGGAAAAATACAAAAAAAAATGTTGACAGATTCACCAGCTAAAAACAAATATAAAAAGGGGTGAATAACTGGGAACGAAAAAAAATAAAAAGTGAGTATGGACAAGGAATGATGACTATGTCAATGTATTATTGGCCTTAAAACGCGTGCGGTGTTAAGCGAAAAAATACTGAAAAAAAAATAAAAATGATAGTAAATGTTTGGGGGAAAGATTTAGAATGCTAGTAAAAATACAAAGAGATTGGGATAGTTTCAGAATTTTTTGGTTTTCAATAGGGAAGGCAAACAGACTAAAGACAGTCGCATTCCTGGAATATTCTTGTGTGTATTTTAAATATAAGAATTTGAGGGGAATATTTTGTACAACTGTGAATAAATACAAGAGAAAATACAAAATAATTTCCGGAGAATACAAAATATAATTTAATAAAGTTTATTTCCGGAAAAAGTTTATTCTGATTTATAATTTCATGAAAAAACTAAAGAATCTAATAATGCCTTCCGGAAGATGTATAATAAAGTTTATATCCGGAAAACAAAATTAATTCTGATTTAAGTTACCTTAACAATTTCCGGAAAATACAAAATTTAATAATTCATTCCGGAGGAAGTTTAATTAAATAAAGTTTATTTCCGGAAAAAATATAATTCATTCTGATTTATTCTGACCGGAAAAAATATAAAAATCCGGAAAAAGTTTAATTCAAAAAAGTTTATTTCCGGAAAACACAAAATAAAGTTAAACACAATTCTGATTTATTTTGTTTGTACGCATACCAGAAAAAATATAGGAATAAACTATTTCCGGAAAATAATAATCTAACTAATAATTAGATCCCGAAAACAAGTTCAATGTTTAATTGAAAAAGTTAATTTCCGGAAAACAAATAAAATAATTCTGATTTATTTATTCTGTTCGTATAAAATATAAATTACTTTAATTACATATTTCCGGAAAATACAAAAATTTAATCCTTCATTCCGGAAAAAGTTTAATCAAGGTTTATTTCAGGAAAATACAAATAGAATTAATTCTGATTTAGAATAATGTAAATATTTCCGGAAAATAATTATTGAGTTGATCTGAAAAACACAAAATACATTCCGGAAATATAAAATACAATATAAGTTCTGATTTATAAAATTTATTCTGAAATGTACAGGGTGTTTCAGCTGAAAAGCGCTATTTGAAAAATTAATAAACTTTTACTGCGTGGACAGATTTAAATGAAATTTTGTATTTTGCATCTATATTTTATGGCAATTTTTTTGACATAAAAATTATGTCGAAATTCGAACCCTAACCCGAGATAATTTCGTACTCTATCGTTCTGTTTTTCCCTTTTTCCGCACATGCATTCTTACTCCCTTTTGTTTGTTACAAGCGGCGATAGACACTAGAGTAAACACTAAGCGATAGACACTACATTTTCAATACAGTATCAACTCTTCGCCATACGCAGGAAAATAAATGCACTAAGATAGCGCGTAATGAAAAGAGAAAGAAAAGAGAACGATAGAGTACGAAATTGAAACGAAATTGAAATACGGGGTTAGGGTTCGAATTTCGACATAATTTTTATGTCAAAAAAATTTCCATAAAATATAGATGCAAAATACCAAATTTCATTCAAATCTGTCCATGGTGTAAAAAGTTATGGATTTTTCAAATAGCGCTTTTCAGCTGAAACACCCTGTATTTCTATATTTTTGTATTTTATTTATTAAATACATAAAACCCTTTCAGAATGCGTTATATTTAAATAAAACAGCATAATTGCCTAGGGAATGCACTAAAACGGGAAAAACACATTTGTGCTAAAAGTAGTTGTTTTGCGCGTGTCTTTTTTTAATTCTTTCATTTCCCCGTCCTTGCTGTTTTTTGCCAAACCGTCAATTAAATAATGAGAAATTAAAAGAAAAGAAAGGGGTTGTCGTTAGAACCAGCCGGACGGTTTAAGAGGAAATGAAAAGGAGAAATGGACAAAAAATTCAGATTTATCGGGCAAAAAGGAAAGGATAGGAATTTATGTAGGAAAATAGTGAAAATTTATTTATAATTATTTTTAACTAATTTTTTAAACGGTGCTGATCAAATCTATTTAGTGTAGATTTAATTAAAATAAAGGAATAAAAATAATTGAAATAAAATCAGAACATTTAATAATACATATATAAATCAGAATTATTTAATATTTTTTTGTATTTTCCGGAATATTTTATTAAGTTCTGATTTATTAATCATCGTTGTATTCTCGTTATAAAATCAGAATTTTCTCAGTATAAAAAATTAGAGTTATATATAAAATCAGAACTGTAGATTATAATAATAGATTATAATAATACAATAGTATTTTCCAGAATAATGCAAAATATTTTGATTATAGTTCTGTTTTATTAAAGTATAAATGTATTTTCTTATAAAATCAGAATTTTGCTATTATAACAATAAAATCAGAATATTTAATAATAAATGACTTTTCCGGAATAACTCAATTATAATATAACTATAAATCATTTCCGGAAATTATAAATTATTTCTGATTTTAATGTATTTTCCGGAATAACTCAATTATAATATAACTATAAATCATTTCCGGAAATTATAAATTATTTCTGATTTTAATGTATTTGCCGGAATAAAATTCTGATTTATTAAATAATTTTGTATTTTCTTAATAAAATCAGAATTTTCTATGTTAATAAAACAGAATGAGGCTATGAGTTTTTTCAAAAATGTGCATTTTTCTCCTTAAGCAGCTGCTACTTTTTAGAGGAAAATATAATATAATAAAGAAAATTGTTGAGGAATTCGCGACCTTAAAGTGAAGCGATATTTATACAATAACAAATATAAAAAGGCTGGCGAGAAGCATACCAGCCGTCGACCTTCAAGTGTTTCTTGAGGTATATATGTTGCGCGCTATGAGTGGAAAAATTTTTTATGATTATGAGGAATGAGGCAAGAGTAATGGAATGTATTTAAGTAATAATAACAAAATACAAAATATAAAAGAATTTTAGAAAAGAATATAAACTTAGGATAAAAAATTGATATTTAAAGAAAATAAAAAATAAATTTGTAAGTCAGAAATTTATTTTAAGTCAGAAATTTATTTTATAAGTCAGAAATTTACATTACATATATCAGAAATAATTTATAATTACCGGAAATAATTTATCATTATACATAGTATAATTTAATTATTCCAAAAAATAAAATATAATTATTTAATATGTATTATAATTTGTAAGAATATTCTGATTTAATATTCTGATTAAATTAAAGATATTCTGATTTGTATAACAAAGAAAATACACATTATTTATTTGTATAATATCAGAATTATAGTAAATATTCCGAAAGATAGCTCTAATCAGAAATTGAATTATTCCAGAAAATAAGTTATAACTCTGACTTCTACATATAAAGAGAAATTCTGATTTAATAAAAAAACACATTATTGTTTAATAAATCAAAATATTAGAAAATATTCTGGAAAAACACAAATTATTACTAAAATTCTGATTTTATTTTTATTAAAAGAAAATTCTGATTCTATAAAGAAAACACATTATAAACACAAAACACATACATAAAATACATGAATCAGAATTTAACAAAATATTCCGGAAAAACACAAATTATTATATTACCAAATTCTGATTTTATTATTATAAAAAGGAAATTCTGAAAACATATTTATTAAATATTAAATCAGAATATTTTGTATTTTCCTAGAAATACTCTTCAGTATAATAAATATTCTGATTTTATTTTTTTAAGGGAGAATTCTGATTTTATAGAGAAAATACAAAATTCCGGAAAGAATATAACTATCGTATTTATAACAAGCTTAATTAATTTAATAAAATACAAAATTCTGAAAAGTTCAATTTACTTTTATAAAATTAAAGAACAGAATATGATAGATAGCGAAATTCCATCGCTTTTGTTTCCTTTGTCGGCGTTGCGCAAATTTACAGATCAAATCAACAAAAATATAAATATACAAATAAATTTTTAAATTTTGTATTTTTATGGAGTAGCTTATAAAGCGTATTTTATTTAAAAAATTAATAATTAGCATCATTTGTGGATTTTTCAGCTAAAAATTTTCTGGAGTTATAAGAGGGGGAGATGAGGGGAACTATGAGAGAGAGGAGGTGGATAGGGGTGTTATATGAATAGTTGGAGGAGGGAATGGGAGAGAAAGGAAGGGGACCCATTTTAATATTAAGTCCTCTCTGAGTACTCCCAACGTATTGCGAGGCCAGCGTACCGCTGAGCTATAAATTAGTTCAAAATCATCGAATCCGGGACGCCCTGATATGGTTCAATTCAGCTCGTCGAGATGCATCGAACCATACCAAGGTGTCCAGGATTCGACTATTTTGAACGAAGTTATAGCTCTGCGATATGTTCAGCTCGCGGTAGGTAGGCCTGCTCTCTCCCTCTCACCCCCACTTAGAAGCTTCCAAAAAATTTTTATTGCTTAAAATTGAAAAGACTTGACTTCCTTATTCTGTTCCATCATTAAAAACAAAAATTTTTTTAGCAGCATTCCCATTAAAAATCACAACAAAAAAATGATAGCTAATCAGGCTTGTATTTTTAAAGAAAAATAAACTTTTTGGAATAATCTACGCTTGTTTTTGTCTTTTAATACAACAACTTGTTTTGTGTGCGCGTGACGATATCAATCAACCAATTTAGGGGTAGTACTCAAAAAATAATGAGAGAGAGAAAGATTGTAAATGCTTACAAATAATGCTAATTGTTAAATAAAAATATAGGAAAAAATTATTAAAGATAAATTAAATTATTGGGAAAAATTATTATTTAAATTGAATATTAAGGCTTCAAGGAGGTACTTTGGGTGTTTGAAAAGTAGGTAAAGATACCCCCTAGTAGTATAAGCTTAAACACTACAATTGTAGCTTATTTATGAATACATCCATGGGAGTGGAAAAAAGTGACCCTTAAATAAGAGACACTCACTAGGAAGAGACTATCTCTACACCCAGTTGAAATAGTGAGTGTCTCTCACAAGTGAGTGAGGGAGAGAGTGTCTCCCACAAGTGATCTCACTTTCAAAAGTGAGTGAGATAGTGAGTGTCTCCCACAAGTGATCTCACTTTCAAAAATGAGTGAGATAGTGAGTGTCTCTCACAAGTGAGTGAGGGAGAGAGTGTCTCTCACAAGTGATCTCACTTTTGCAAGTGAGTGAGGGAGTGTCTCTCACAAGTGAGTGAGGGAGAGAGTGTCTCTCAAATGTGAGTGAGTGACCTTAGATGCTTGTAGACATAGGTGAGATCCGACTGCATAACTTTACGCTTGAGAGGACCATGAAAAAAAGTGAGCTAATAAACGAATCGCGAGTGTCCCTCTTGAGATACCCGAGCTCAAACACTCCGTGAGATTACCCACAAAAAATATTTTTTTCGCAATTGCATTCGAAGAACTTCACACAAAATTGGATTTACACAACTCAGACACAGAAATACAGTATAAAAAATAGATAGTGAAACAGTGCCACAATTTCCAAATATTTTAATTAATGACCCACCTCCTGCACTTTTTTCTCCTTCTCCTCAAGCGCATTGTTTGCGGAGGAAAGGTCCTCTTGTGCCTTGTCCAACTCGTTTTCAATTGCCTAAAGATTTTAATTTCAAGGTTTTTTAAAAAAAATTTTCAATTTTTGAAAATTTCAAAATTTTCAAAAAAAATTTCAAAAATTTCAAAAATTTTCAGAAATTTCAAAAATTTCAAAAAAAAATTCAAAAATTTTCAGAAATTTCATAAATTTCAAAATTTTTCAAAAATTTTCAGAAATTTCAAAAAATTTCAAAATTTTTTTAAAAAATTTTCAGAAATTTTCAAAAATTTTTCAAAATTTTCAATTTTCAAAATTTTCAGAAATTTTAAAAAAATTTTCAGAATTTTCAGAAATTTCAAAATTTTTAAAAAAATTTTCAAAAAATTTCAATTTTGAAAATTTTCAGAAATTAAAAAAAAATATTCTCAATTCACCATCATCTTCTTCTGAGTATCGCGCAACTCTTCCTCAACGCGTTCTAAGCGTTCTTGAGTCTGTCTGCATTTTTCTTCTGCAGCGTCCGCCCGGTCTATGGCGTTATCCTTTAAAGAAAAATTTTCAAAAAATTTTTTTGATTTTTCAAAATAATTTTTTCTCCACCTTCTCGATCTTCATCGCCTGCATCTTCTTCTTGATGGCGTCCATTTTTGCTGATTTTTAGACTTTTAGGTCAAGAATTAAAATTAATATAAAAGGCACAAGTATAGAGAAGGCACTCTTAAATTGAAAAAAAGTCAAAAAAATTTTCAAAAAAATTTTCAAAAATTTTTCAAAAAAAAATTTTCCAATATTAAAATTTTTTAATAAACATTAAAATAATAATTCTCGCTTTAAAAGACATCTCGAATATTTTTAATAATCACGAATTAAATTTAAATAATTTATTTTCGTAGAAAGACTTGTTATCCGAGTCAATATACCTTCACACGATAACGAGAAACTCGGTGAAATTTAATTTCCTGGAATAATAACAAAGAGGAATCACAGTATTTTCTTGCTAATTCGGATAAGATATAGTAAAGTTTCTAAAAAATTAAAAGAAAATTTCAAAGAAGGTGGATTCATAAAATACCCTCCAGCCTAAAAAATTAGAATAGTTCCAAAAATTGAGAGAAGGAAGCGAGAAAAGGACCATTAGAGAAGGAAGGCACACCATTTTAATTAAAATGTTCTTATTAAAAAATCAACTCAAAAAAATTTAAGATACTGTATTCCGAGACTATTTTAATTTCTTATAATCCAAGGATTTCCATTAAAGGGTTTCAAGAAGAAACCCCAGCCCAAAAATTACACTCTGGCGAGTTTAGTTACGTCGGGGGGTGAGCTCTAGACAAAGAAGGCAATTTATACAGAAAATGTTTCTTTTATTTTATATGAGTAGCAAAGAAAGGTTAGAGAACGAAAGTGTCTGAATTAAACATTTTTCAAATGTAGGGAGTCAAGAAAGACCCCCAAATTCATGCAGAAATGGTGTGTCCGAAATATGCTGATATTCATAAAAAAAGATTGAAATTTATACAGAATACGTACATTTTATTTATGGAGAGAAAGTATTACATTAAAATTTTTTAAAATGTAGGGGGTCGAAAAAAACCCCCCGGCCCAAAAATTCGAATTACGATTCAGAGTACGCCGTTTCAGTCACGCCGCTCTCTATGACAAAAGGCTAGTATGTAAAGAATTATTCTCCTCTTATTTTATATGGGTAGCAAGAAAAATTAGTTATGATAATATTTAGTTATACCGTGGAAGTTTAGAGAAAATTGGCAATATGTAAAGAACTCTTCAAAAAGGCTTAAAAGATTTTTAATATAAGGGGTCCATAAAGACCCCCAGTCCCAAAAATTCTTGCCACTTGAGTGGGTCAAAACTGCTGTCTGTTCTCTTTGAGAAAAGACTACTCTGTAAAGAAAGTGTCTACTTTTATTTTATATGGGTAGCACACAAGGTTAGAGAACAAAAATCTTATTGTTAATAATTTTAAAAATGTAGGGGGTCCAAAAAGACCCCCCTTCCCAAAAATTCTAAACCGTTTCAGTACCGCACGATTGAGTTAGCCGTTGTGAGAAGAAAAAGAGAATAGCTTGTAAAGAAAAGTCCTCTTTTATTTTATATGGGAAGCACACAAGGGTAGAGAACAAAAATATTTATGCTACACCTTTAAATATGAAGGGGGTCTTTAAAGACCCCCAGTCCCAAAAATTTCAATATATATAAAAATATAGGGGAGGGGTCCAACTCAGGATATTTTCATTTCATATTCATCGAGACGCTTTCTTTTATTTTATATGAGGAGCAAAATAGGCTAGAGAACAAGAGAGTTTAACTAATATCTTTATAAAAATGTAGGGGGTTCATAGAGACCCCCGGTCCAAAAATTATTATACAGTGTGGTACAAAAGTTTATGCCAACTATATTTCATAACATTCATAGAGAAAACGGTTTACTTTTATTTTTCATGTGAAGCAAAACATGTTAGAGAACAAGAATATTAACTAATATCTTTCTAAATGTAGGGGGTCGAACGACCCCCAGACCCAAAAATTTTATACTAGCGATAAGTTACGTATGCGATGGCGGTTAGTTACGTATGCAATTCCTATTTGTATGCGATTCCATTTTACTTTTATTTTATATGAGGAGCAAAACATGTTAGAGAACAAAAATATTAACTATATAGTCTATATATATTATATAACAAGAGAGTTAATATATAATAATAATATATAATAACGACCCCCAGACCCAAAAATTTGACCCCCAGACCCAAAAATTTTATCTATATATAAAAAAATTAGCCCATATCAAGTAAATCTCATCACATTTTTAGTGAAAACGTCTTCCTTATATTTTATATGAGGAGCAAAACTAGGGTAGAGAACAAAAGAGATTAACTCTTTACAAATGTAGGGGGTCAAAATAAACCCCCCGTTCCAAAAATTTTATACAGTGTGGTGCAAAAGTTTATACCAAACACATTTCATCCCAACTTTTAGGGAAAACGTCTTCCCTTTATTTTTTATGAGGAGCAAAAAATGGTTAGAGAACAAGAGAATCTCAACTTAGGTTAAAAGATTTTGAATTTTTAGGGGGTCAAAAAAGACCCCCCGTCCCAAAAATTTCCTGTATATAATTTGAGAATGGTTTGTCTGTAAGTATATATTATTTCTTCATATTTTTACGACTATTTTCTTCAAAAAATTTTGAATGGGGAGAAAATATGGAAAGAGAAAATGAAAGAATAAAATAGTAAAAGAAGTGTATTACTGAGAAAAATAAAGAGAAATAGTACACTAGTTTGTTCTCCCACTTATAATGGCTGCCACAAAAAAATTAAGGAAGAAAGAGATATGAAGGAGAAGAAGAAAGAGTAGTAAAAGACAAAAGGGTAATAAGTATAAGAAAGATAAAATAGTAAACGACAAAAGGGTACTAGAAGAAAACAAAGACAAAAGGGTATATAAAGAAAACAACGACAAAAGGGTAAAAGAAGAGGTATTAGACAAAATGATAAAAGACAAAAGGGGGCAATAAGAAAACAAAAAAGGGTTAAAATGGTAAATATAAGTCAATATATAAGTCAAAATGGTAAAAGACAAAAGGGTACTAGAAAAAAACTGAACATTTGTTAAAAGAAAGGGTATAATAACGTCAAAATGGTAAAAGATAAAAGGATACTAGACGAATGGTATAAGATTAATGGTAAATGACAAAAAGGAATCAGAATAAGACAAAATGTTAAATTACAAACAAAGGAGGTACTAAGAATATGAATCAAACCAAAAAATTATCCATGTGGAAAATCAAAGGAATATATCAGAGGATTTGGGTGAAGTAAAGGGAGAACGAGTGATATCAAAGGGCTAATACGCAAATCCAAAGGATTTGAGTGAATTGTAGGGCCAAGAGTCTCTGACGTCTCTAGTAGGTATCAAGGGTATAAAATCAGCGGATTTGGGTGGATTAAGGAGATATCGAGTGATATCAAAGGGTTAGAGGCAAATTCAAAGGATTTGAGTGAATTGTGGGGCCGAGAGTCTCGGACGTCTCAAGTAGGTGTTACGGGTGTCAACTCAGAGGATTTGGGTGGATTAAGGGGATATCGAGTGATATTAAAGGATTAAAGGGGATATCCGTGGGAGTTGAGTGAATTATAGGGCCAAGAGTCTCGGACGTCTCTAGTAGGTATCAGGGCGGGCCGAAACGAAATTAAAAATAGAATGAGAAAAATTTAAAAAAATCTGTGGAAAGCGACTTTGACTCAGGTGAAAAATAAATTCTTTAAAAGCTCTTAGTATTACTAATCTTTCCAAAAATAAAAGTTTTTAAGTAAAAAGGATTTGAGTTAAAAATAGTAAGTAAATAAAATTGAGAGCATATGCTGCCGCCTCCAGGCTTTAAAACTTTTTAGTTTAGTGTGTAGGCGGTTTACACACATCTGTCCCTTTATATTAGATCATTAATGTTGTAATAGAGAAGTAAAATAAAAATTTTATTTTCAGTTAGAGAAGATAAAAATCTATAAATATGGATCAGAAATGTGTGTTTTTATTGGGGAAATTTGTTAAAAAATTTTATTAAGATTTTTTGTTGTTATAGGGTTTAAAGAGTTAATGGACTAGTTATGAGACACTCAAAAGAGCGAGAAATCGAAAGAGAGAGATTTTTTGAATTTTGAGACGTAAGAAAAATATTACAAAGAAGATTTAGTGATAAACTTGGATATAGGGGATGTTACTTAAATTATGGGTCCCGAGCAGATGAGGAAGGTATAAGGAGGTACACCCATGTATGGTTCGATTCATATCAGCGCGTTCCGGATTCGATAATTCTGAACAAGGTTATAGCTCAACGGTACGTCCCGAGTAGTCCACAAACTAGAGTGGTGTCCCAACGAGGATAGGAAGGGCACGGAGGAAGAGGGCGGAATACAACCTTAATGGTATTGGGAGACCTACAAATTGGGGGCTTCTCTGGGGAAACGAGGAAGGTCATAGTGGAGTTGTAGTCGAACCATACCATAGGGGAGGCATCGGAAACTAAATTAGTGTTGTATCCCGAGTGGTCTTGAGTTGGTTTGTCAAATGTTAAGGGTTTCAACAGTATTCTTATCGAATTCAAAAAACCTTTCATTAACAGGAGCCCGGTTTGTAGTCCCACACTAAACAAAATGGAATAATAATTCACTATAAAATTAGTAAAATCGTTAGATAGCCAACTTTAAAAGAGAAAATTTTTTGGATTGGGTGGTAATAAGAAAAATGTTTATGTAATGGATCACTCAATTCCTAGGAAAGGTTTATTGAAGATCATGTTTGTGTGAACAACTGATGCTTTCTGGTAAATAAGAATGTGAAAAATATCTTTTAAAGGATTTGATGGATTGGTAAAGCTGTTAGGATTTTTATTATTTTTATGCTTTGAAGGGACAGAGTGTTGATTGAGTGAGGAGACTCTTAGAGACTGAAAAGGCCTGTAAAGGCATGTCTCGGAAAATTAATTTTGGTGTCATTTTATGGGCAATTGAATAGTAAAATAAAATTTTCGGGCTAAATTTCGGTAAGATTTCACTATAAGTATACCTGGGGACTCAAATAATCGTGTCTTATAATGAGATTAGGAAGCTCTCCCGGCTTATAATGAGATTAGGCAGCTCTCCCCCAAAACAAGTGACCGTTCAAATTAAAAAAAGCGTATGTTAAATAGAGGTGCATATTATAGTGAGGTGTATATTATATTGGGTGTGTATTATTGAGGGAGACTATATTAAAAATAGGTCCTACTATATTGTGAGGTATAGTAAAGTTAGACTATATTTGAATGATAAATACTAGGGTTGTCGGTTTCAAACCGAACCGAACCGAAAAACCGAAGATTTTCGGTTCGTTTATCGGTTTCGGTTAACCGAAAGTTTCGGTTCGGTTTGTCGGTTCGGTTAACCGATGAATCTGGTGAAACCGACAACCCTAATAAATACAAAAAGAATATAGACAATTTTAAAAAATATTTAAAATTTTTTTACTTAATATTAGATATATTATTTAAGCCTATTTAAATGAAATAATTTTATAACAGGATGTTGAACAAAAATATAAAAATGTTTGTTTCTTTTTTGTTGAGACTAAGGTTGCGGGGCCGGATATCCGGATCCTAAAAAAGACAGGATATTCGGAGATTTTCGTTCGGATATGGGGTCCGGATATTCGAAGATTTCCAGCTATCCGACAGCCTTATTTGAGACTCAATGAGATGAGGTTTTTACTTAATATGAGTTCTCTAAAAATATAAGACATAACAAACAACTCCTCTGAACAATTCTTCTGGATTTAAGAAAAGCTAATTTATATTACGTAAACAATTTAGTAAGCAAAATGTTTTTTAGCTAAAAAATTCCAAAAATTTGTTTTGGATTTTTAGCCAAAAATTTTTAAAAAAACATGTGTTGGAATAAAAGTTAAATAATTATGGTAAATAAATATAAAAATATCAAATATTTATTGAAAATAGCGTTGTCGGCTCTTCGAGCAATTTGAAAATTTTTTGTATATCACCTGAACCGGACCGATAGGGTCAACACAAATAACCTACACTCTGAAAACCTATTGACCCAAAAGACCTACAACTTTTGAAAGCGGATATCAAAAGGGAACATCGTTGATTTGGAGGGATTAAGCGGATATCGATGAATTTAGTGTGATTGAATTGGATACCCACCCATATTTATGTTATAAAATACAGACCCGGTACTTAACTTCATGGAGAAGTGTATTTATCCCCCTTAACTGGCTTTGAATCCCTCTTAATCTCCCGATATTCGCTTTAAAGTTCCGGTGAAATCGACTTAATAGGTTACTGGCTGTAGGCCTTTTTGAGGTGGACTCGGACCGATAATGGTTTAATTGAGAATTTATTTAATAATTTTATCAAGAAAAAGGGTGAATTTTAATAATTTCTAGTAAAATATTTAAAAATATTACGAAAAATTTTTTAAAATACAAGGAGAAACAATAAATAATATTCTAGTGTGTATAAAATTGAATAAAAAATTTGTTACAGCATTAATATAAAGGGGGATTATTCATTCCTTTTTTTAAAAAAATTCTTACATAAATATTATTCATCTTTTCAACCTTCTCATATTTTCACCTAAAAGCTTTTAAAGGGGAATGATTCATTTACTAGGCTTATTTTGAAATGGAAGGGGTGAAAAAAATTTTTGAAAAGATCAATTTAACGTATCATGGACTTATCAGGAGATTTGAGGGAATATCAGGAGATCTAGGTTGTATCAGGAGATTTGTGGGTATAAGAGGGAAATAGGGGGGAAATATAATAGGAATGTATGGAATCCATATTATATAGAGGGATACAGAGGGATTTAGAAGGATATAGTGGGGTTTAGAAGGATATAGAGTGGATTTAGGGTGATTTAGAAGTATATAGAAGGTTAAGAAGGATATAGAGGGATTTAGAAGGATCTAGAAGGATATAGGGTGATTTAGAATGATATAGAAGATGTAGAGGGATTTAGAAGGATATAGGGGGATCTAGTGGGATTTAGTAGTAGATATTTAAGAGTACTTCTTAGAAAGCTTCTGTGGGAGGGAGGTGTCTGTCTGTAGTGTTATTATAGAGAGAGATTCCTATGTAAACTAATATAGATATCCATCAATATCCACCTCTTAATCTGGACTAGTTTGAAGTAATTCTTTATTGCTATAACCTAGTGTTCACCTCGTACAGGTGCTCTTCCGACTCAATTTCCTTGAGTTGCTTTCACCTAGCTTCTAATCTATCTTATATCACTGCCTAGGAAGAGGTTTACATCCTAGCTAGTTGGATCTCCTTTATTCCTAACATTATAGAAAGTTGGGTTTATTGATCCTAAACAATTGCCAGAGGCAGTTTAGTTTAGGTTTAACTTAACTCAGTTAACTAACAAACAATTTTTTGTTTAAATAAAGCTTTGGGGTATTCATTCTACTCAAATCACTCAAGATTAAGCAGCTGTTACGTTCTCCTCTTTAATATAATATGTGAGGGATTTAACAATATTTCTTCTTTATATTCCTAGAAAGTCGTTTAAATGTTGTTGGATAACAAAAAAATTTTTGCCGCCCACCCAAAAAATTTTCGGGAATGTTTTGGATATTTTACAATAAAAAACATGAGGGCAATGTCGAAAAAAATGAATAAAAATTTTATAAAAAATTATTATTTTGAGTAACTTCAAGTGCCTAATCTGGACTAGAACGTGAAGAATTTAACAATTCTAGGAGGTATTCATTTTACTCAAAACAGTACTAACTGTGAATTATCCTAAATGTAAATCCTAAATGTGGATTTAACAGTCTAACAAGTATAGGTTATGTATACTTGGTATACCCCCCCTTCATTATGCCTTTGGAGTTAGAAATTATATCTTATACATAATCAAGGGTACCTTAAATTTTATCTGACGATTATCAGGAATCTGAATATAGCCTGGAAAGGGAACAAAATTCTTTATTTTTGTTTCAGGTTATTCCCTAACCTATTAACTCCTTCACCCAGTTAGCAAAATTTTAGTTACTGGGTCGGAGAGCTTCCTGAGCAATGCCTTTATTCAAGATTGACCTCATTATAAAGGTAGGATCAGCCCCCCAAAATGTGTATCCGAAGTGAGGCAGACGCTATAAGATGTTTAGCTTTTGACTCGAGCCTGTGCGGACATTTCAATAATTTTTAATAATAAATTTCGATTGGACTCATAAAACATAATATAACCAAAAAATTTTTTATATTCAATGAATACAGTTTAATTCCGATTTTTTTTCTAAAAATTATCATTTCATAATTCCTTCAATTTCTTTCAATTTCATCTTTCGCTTAACCCAAAGTCTGATTTTAGTTCACAATTTGTTCAAAGTCAATTTTGCATTCGCGACTTCCACTATCATCGCAGCTTCCATATCCCTGAGCAACCAACACATCCTCTCCATTTTGACCTATCGGACAATACATTGTGAACGGCTGACTTTCGCCAATATATTCGTGAAAATCTTTGGATAGCACTTCTAGATATTCTTGTTCAGCATTACAAGCGTATCCCGTAAGTTCACAGGGAGGTTGAGTACAGTTGTATTGTTGCCCACAAGTCACAGACTCAAATAAACCTTCGTTCGTATCTATTGTTATTAAAGACAATTAATTAAATGTAGAAGAGATATGTCCAGTTCAAAATAGGATGTGGGCTGAAGAGACATGTCCCGTTTGGATGAGAATATAGTCTATAGCGACATGTCCCGTCTGGACTAGTATGTAGGCTGAAAAGACATGTCCCGTTCTGAATAAGAAGTAAGCTGAAGAGATATGTTCCGTTTGGACGAGTAGGTAGGTTGTAAGGAAGAGGCATGTCCCGTTTGGACTAGTAGGTAGGCTGAAAGGACATGCCCCGTTCTGAATAAGAAGTAAGCTGAAGAGACATGTCCCGTTTGGACGATAATGTAGTCTATAGCGAGATGTCCCGTTTGGACTAGTAGGTAGGCCAAAAGGACATGCCCCGTTCGGAATAAGAAGTAAGCTGAAGAGACATGTCCCGTTTGGACTAGTAGGTAGGCTGAAAGGACATGTCCTGTTCGGAATAAGAAACAAACTGAAGAGACATGTCCCATTTGGACTAGTAAGCTGAAAGGACATGCCCCGTTCGGAACCCTGTCTTCTGATGAATGCCCCTCGGTGAAGAGATATGCCCCTCGGTGAATGTATATGCCCCTGGAGTATAAATATGTATTCTGTTCAGATTAGGAGGTGGGTAGGCAAGAGAAGCATGCCACCTTCAGACTATAGGTAGGCTGAAGAGAACATCTCCCAAGCGAACCTATTCGCTTTGAACTTACTAATATCGCAAATAAATGAAGTTTGCAAGTTTGCGTAATTTCTAAGTCCAGAACAAGCCAAAAATGCAGTAACCAAAACACTCATATGATGACGCTTGCAACAATTAAATTTAGGCTTATTGTCGAAAGTGACATTTACGTCCTTGATACTTTCATTCAGTAATTTTCTCGAATTCCTGCTCGATTTAGAAGGCTCTTCAAGAACTTCATCACACTCGGTCTCACACTTCTCCTTCCCCTTAGTCTCTTTTTTATTTTTTTCCTTTTCGTTGTTGAACAACTTTTTTTCCTTTGCCTCCGTCAAGCCGTTCAAGGCGCTAAATTTATTTTTAACTTCCACATTGTATCGAGCCTGCAGCTTGTTTTTTAATGTCTTTGACACTTTCTTCTCCTTCCCAGTGGGGTTCTCCTTCTTGTTGCCTTGATCCTTTAGCATTCTTCGATACCCATAGATTGGAGCATCTGGGTAGACTATCTTAGGAGCTTCAAAAGTTTCTGGAAGACTATGGGGAGCGTTAAAAGTATGTTGGGGTTGAGCAACATTCAAAGGATGAATTTCACCTGGAATAAATTGGATTTATAAGGGATTTGAAGATATGGACAATGTAAAGCTAAGAG